TGGTGGCACATGCCTGTAATCCCAGCTACTCAGGAGGCTGAGGCAGGAGAATTGCCTGAACCCAGGAGGCGGAGGTTGCGGTGAGCCGAGATCACGCCATTGCACTCCAGCCTGGGTATCAAGAGCGAAACTCCGTCTCAAAAAAAAAAAAAATTAATTTAATTTAATCTTTTAATTGCATAAATAATACGTGCCCATTGTAACAAGTTAAATAAAACAGAGATATATGAGGGACTCATCATAAACAGTTTCTTCTAAATCACATCTGTGTCCCTAACACACACACGCACACAAATACGCATCGTACACATACACCACACACACATACATCATATGTACACATACACCACACACGCACCTCAGTGCACGCTATCTCCTGGACATTTCTGCTTAATCAATGTTAGGACGGTTTTTGTTTTGTATTTGGAGACCATCTGTCAGAAATTTGTTTTCAGAGTATTTCATGTATATACAGACATAGTTGATCCCCTGGTTAACTGCTATTTAATGATCTACAGTTTGGCTACATCAATCTTTTTGTTTTCATTTCAAATGTTCTTGAAATTGTACTCTACATTATGATCCTCTTTTTCACTTATTTTTAAATCAAGTCTCACGTCACTAAGGGCGCTCTGTAAACATGATTTCAATGACAGCATCATAGTTCCAGAATGTGAGTATCTCATAATTTAGCAATTTACTTTCTTCCAATTTGGGACCATTAAAAAATAAAACCACAATGAGTATCATACAGTATTAAACTCTGTCCACATTTCTGGTTATTTTCTTTAGGGTGTGAACACTTTTAGAGTCTTTATCCACGCTACCAAATTGCTCTTTCCAGAAAAACCGTATCGATCTGTTCTCCCACCAGCAATGACTGAAAGAGGCCCCCAACACCTTTTCTTAAATGTTTACTGATCTGTTAGATGAAAGTGGCATGTTATCACTTCAATTTGCGTTTTAGATGACTAGTGAGGTTAATTCTCCGTTTGCGTTTCTTCTAAAAACTATCTGAATAGGCACCCATGTTCTAGTTTTCCAAGGAGGAGATGGTCAGCCTTCCTCCCTCACCACCGCCCAGTCCCAGCCCTGAGCCCTCCTGCCCCAGAGGTTTGGACCCACCCTTAGCTCCAAAATGGTTCTTTTCCTTCTGGTCCTGTGTCCCTTGCCATCTGCTCTCATGCGTCTTCCATCCCTCCACATCCCATGGCTGGCCTCTCTGTCTCTCGGCTTCTGTGCCTGTGGGTGCCCCTTGCTCTGCACCCCAAAACCCTTGCACCGGAGAACAGAACAACCAACACAAGCCTAGAATGTTCAAGCAGGCTGCCAGTGCCTGCCACCGGCCTGGGATCAGTGCTGACAGGCCAGCAGACACAGCAGAGGCCCCTGCTGCCCTGACCTGGGCCGGGAAGAAATGGGAGGCCACCACTAGGGCCTCCCCTGCAGGGACCGTGCACAATCCCCCCATGTTTCCCTTTCCCATTTTCCTCCTCTCCCCATTATTATGACTCAGGCTTTAACTTTCACAAATGATGCCATGTGCTGGCTTGGGGTTTCTGCAGGAGAATTTCTGCACTCTTCGGGGCACTGGGGCCTGTTTGCCCTTGTTAGAGAAGAGGGACCCTCGATGCTCTGCAGACCCCGTCAGGCTGCGGTGATAAGCAGGGCTGTTTGAGCTGCACCACGTAAACCTGGCCCTTCCGAGTGAGACTTCGCAGAAATCCCACTGGAGATTCTTCGGCCCCTGCGCTGTCTACTTTCCTTCATAATGATAAATGGCTGAAAAGAAAACTATCTAATCTCCAAACTGCTTGCTTTTTTCCCCTTCCTCTTTCTTTAAGGAGAGAAGGAAGAACACAGTCACATAAAACAGAGTCCTTCATCGCCTGCTCCTCAGGAGACGGTTCTTTCCCTTTTCATCCCGGGCCTGTTTCTGATCTGTGATGGGTTCACATTGAAAGCTCCAGCCCGGCCCTCCCTAATCAGCTGCGACAGCCGCTGTGGTTGCTCGGGTTGCCCATCGAAATTGAATTGATTACCCGGCCCCTTTGCCATTTTGTTCGGCGCACAATTGCTTAATAGCTGTCACCTTGGCTTTCAGTCCAGGCCGGCTTCAGGCTGACTGGTTCCCATTACTCGGGATGGCCAGTGCAAGTTCATCACCTTGACAGGATGTCCCTGATTGGTTCCGTATGCCTTGGAGACCTGTCATCGATTTGCGTGGGGGGAGAGAGGGCTTGCAGGGGACGGCATGGAAATCTCTTGGCTGCAGGAACGGCCAGGTTTCGCTGCAGAGCTCACTGCATTTGAATCATTACCAGGTCTTCGTGTCAGGAGTGTGGCCTCTGCTGACATAGCTGCTAATGAATTTGTAAATTAAAAAAAAATACCAAACAACCCAGCCCGTTCTAACCTTTGCTGTCGCCACCTGCCGCCTGCGTGGGGGTGGCAAGCTAACAGTTGCTCCCTCCCCACCCCTTTCCCCTGCCCGCTGAGCTGGAGACCCTGGCTGGGAGAGAAACATCTTTCAAGCGAAATCCTTTGCGCTGGGAACTACTTCAATTAGACAGCAGGGGGAATGTTAACATGCCCTCCGGCCTTTTAAGTGGGTTTTAATTTTATGTTGTAAGATAAGACACTGCAAGGCTGGACTGCTACTCCTTGAGCAGGCTCCATTAGTGGGGCGAGCCGAGGCCTCTTGACCCCCTGAGGCCCAGCCAAGGCTGGAAGTTGGTTTGGTTTTTTAACAATTTGTCAGGCTGACCCAGCTTCTCTTTCCCTTCTCCCTTTTGTTATTCCGGGCTCTTCTGCGGTTGCGGGCCAACTGCTGGTGGCTGAGCTGCTGCTGAGAGGCCTGCCTGGGCTTCCCCCAGGGGCCTGGCCCTGGGCTGGAGAGCACAACCCCCAGGGCCGCTGCCGGGGGACACACAGCTGAACGTTAATTGGCTTTTGTCCCCTTCCCAGGCAGGGCACAGCAGAAGCAGACCCTTTTCATGTGGCAGGTTTCTGGCTGATGATGTATGACCTGTTGGCGCTCCTGAATGGTGCCCTTTGTTTCGGGATATCCCATGTGCCCCCTTTTTATTGAGCTGTTGATTCAGAGGGGCAGGAAAGTTCCACAAATCCCACTGCAGGCCCGGCTCTGGCCATGCCCAGGTGGGGAAGCCCAGGGACCTCGTGCTTCCCAGCAAGCTGGCAGGAAGCTGTGGGCTGCCTCAAGGCAAAATACCCCTTTAAGAAGCGGCTTTCTTCATGTCAGACTCAGCCAACCACGTGTTTGGAGAGAACCTGGGAACATCCGCATTGCCCCCAGACCTCTGACTGGGCTCTAGAAGGTAAGGAGTGTCCCAGATGTGCAGTCTTTGCCCAGAATAAAAGAGCACAGCAGGTGGGAGTTAGGAAGAGCATCCCCCCCCACATCCCCTGAGCCAAGCTCAGTTAACATCTTTCTCCATAACCAAGAAGCCCAAGGTGGGAGCCAACAGCTAAGGGAGGATGGGGCTTGGCTTCCTGTTCTGCAGGAAGAAGTCCAGCTGGAGAGCTGCCCTAGAGCCACAGAAAGACTGCGGGGAAGCAGAAGACAAGGCAGACTCCTTACCCAGCAGGAGATCTCGTTCAGCCCTGACAGGACAAGGATTCAAGGGCACACCTCCCTTTCCTTCTCTTTTCCTGGGTTCCCAGACCAGCCTGCACTGGAGATGCTGGACACAGGCGAGCAGCTTTGGGGAAGGAGCCACGAGGGGCAGGGCAGGTGGCAAGGCCTTACGGAGGGAGAGCCAGCAGCACCTTCCTATGCCTGCCTCTTCCAATCTAGAGTGAACCTGGGATGGATTTCACCTCTTTTTTCCTCTCTCCATCTTGTGGCCAAGCTTCAGGGACCTGGCAAAGGTGTGGGCAAATGGGGACTTTGCCAGGCCTTGACTCACCCTCTCTGGAGTGACAGTGGTGATGAGCTCACACCCCTGACTGCTCCAGGAAGGCCCTGGTACTGACTTGAACCTGCTCTTCAGTTCCTTTTCTGAAGCAGTCACATAAAATCCCACCAGAAATTCCCCACTTATGAGACCACTTCCCCCAAATGGCCAGCTTATGTATTGACTGCCGAAAGGAGGCAGATTCTTCCTTTACTGCCTGGCCTGCCCTTCTGGGGTCTTTGTGGACCCTGGAGTCCAGATTCATAACCTGGGGAGTAGCATGAGATCAAAGGCGCAATTGCTCTATTGGTCCTAAGTGATTTCACTCTGAGCTCAGAGGCTCCACGGTACAAATGTTCAGAGGCACTGAGGACCTCACCTGACACTTGAGAAAAAAATACTGGCAAAAAGGAGACAGAGGCCATTGCAAAGGCAAGAAACAACAAGTCAATAATAAACAGCATCACACACTTCACAGTTGTAAAATGGCTTTATGTTCCGATATGCAAAATAAAACGTCCATGCTATATAACAAAACACTTGAAGTTTCATATCACCTGTTAGCTAATGTGTTTTCTAAAAAAGCTTTATCTGTAGTGTGTGTGTGTTTATATATATATTTATTTATTTATACGTTTTATCTAAACCATTCTTAGTTTTTAATATCAAACATGTAATAAAAATTTAAATAGATGTCTTTCCAAATACCCCCTTCCAATGTTCATTTTTATTAAGTTCATTCATTTGTAAAAAGCAAAGCTGAATTTGACATGTGGCCTGCATTTGTGAGATATATATATAAAATATATTTATTTATTTATATAATATATAAATAGCTGTTCAGCATGCAAAGAGTTTAGTGATTTCCCAAGTTTTTTTGGAGCGTTCACCCCAGCCACACTGATGGCCTGGTGGTGTTCGATGCTAAAATGCAGGGCTGAGGACTGTGTGAGCACCACGCTAGAGAATTCTCTTTGCTCCTCTGAGCTCACTGGCTGAATTTACTGGAAGAAATGAATTTATCTCAATTATCTTTATTTCTGTTGGGCTTTCTCGCTCCAGAAGCGTAGATTTTCTGAGAGCAGAACAGGCCCTGGAGAAGCCAGACATCAGCTCCAGTGTGGTCTCCTGGGGATGAGGCCAGGTGGGGTGTGTTTCATAATTGCCCATCATAGGATGCAGATGGTATGGTGCCTGGGAGGCTGACTCTCCGCACACCAGAGTGACAGACTGTATGTTTGGGATCTAGGGGGATGGGCTCTGTGCTTTATTACAAAACCTGAATGATGACAGAGATGCTACTGGTTGCGTTTTATCTCCTCTTGAAGGAAAAATTTAAAAAACCTTTAAAAATATCCCTCAGGTGACATTTAGCACATGACCCTTTCCGATCGTCCCCCCTCAGACCTCAGAGCTCCAGTAATCAGTGTCTAGGCCACTCACCGAGCAGCTAGCTGCACTCTCAAAGTGCACTTGGTGGCTTAGCTGAGCCCCTTCTCAGGCAGCCTCCCAGACTTGACGGAGGCCAAAGGAGTGGGCCTCCGACTACCAAAACAAGATTCTCAGCTCCCCTTGCAAATAGAAGGCCAGGACCTCTATGGTGTGCACAGAGCCCTCACACCCCAGCAGTGAGAATCTTTCCCCATGGGAGAGTCCTCGCCACCTGGCCCCTGAGAAAGTCAGCAATTACGAAACCCTCTCAATCACTCATATGAACCCTCCACTCCCATCCCACCCATGGGCATGTCAAGAGATGTCAGGTTACAATGGACCCAGGTCCTATGGCCAAAATCACTTCTTAGATAATTGTGGTTTCTTTTTTCCTTGCCATGACCTCAGTTGTATGTCAGAAGATAGATGCTCTCCACATACATACATGGTCGCGTGCACACACACACACACACACACACACACTCCCTCTGGAATACCTCCCTGTGTTCCTTGGTAGTGCAGGCCACCCAGAGGTTAGTACTGGAGCAACGTGGTCCCGGGGCTGTGAAGCAGGCATGAGACTCATCCATCAGTCCAGTTCTCCACAGTCCCCATTCCTGAATGGTACTGTAAGGAAGATTCTCGGGACAAGGAGAAGGTTTGAGAGTAGAGAAACTCATTGGCAGCATTCAGATGCGGAGAGGGTGGCTTCCTCTCACACCCCGGGGGGAGGCCTCGCTCTCTTGGGAAGGAGGCGCTGGGCCCCCGCTCTCGGACCTGAGACTGGGAGAGCTGATTGTAGACGCTGAAGTGGGTGTTTCCTGGTGGCTGGGAGCTCTGGGCGGAGAGGGTGGGCAGCCGAGGCATCATGGTGGTGGCGGTGAAGTGCGTGGGGAAGGGCTGGTACGGCACAGTCTCCATTGTCTGCACACTGTAGCTGGTGTACGGCGACACTGAAGTCCACATGTTACAGCTCAGCGGAGGTGGGGGGAGGTCGTCCACTCCAGACACCCCAGCAATCTCAGGCCCTGAACCTGAGTACATACAGGCTTCTCTGGGGGTCACCTCACTGCAGTAGGAGGGGCTCAGCATCTGCTGGTCGTAGGGAGGGGGAGAACGGAAGTAGTGATCCTCCCCCACCGAAGAGGGGGCTTCCAGATAGGATCGCTTGCAGGGTAGGTCCAGGTGGCGGCCACCGTCTGCTGAAAGACAAAGCAACACTCAGGAAGAGCCATTTCCACCAGCCCAGGCCCCAGAGCACCCTGCTGGGTGCCGGGACAGCCTGTCCTTGTCCCTCCACGCCTGCCCTCCCCATGTTGCCATGGCACTCCTGGAGCCATTTTAATCAGCCACAGCTTTTATAGTGGTAGCTGCCAAGAAGTGGTCGGATTACAGTCAGAGGCCACGGGGGACACCACATCACCGGACACTGAGTGCCAGGCTTAGCCAGGCAGCACTGGGCTTTGATGCTTGGCCAGCCTAACTCTTGGGAGTAAGAGGCCTTGGTGTGCAGTGGCATTCTCTGGCGAGGCTCGCCCTGGCCACGGAAAGTGGAGGCACTTGCCAGGCCAGCCCAGGCCCAGAGGCCCCATTTGTCTGAAGTAGCCAGAAAATTAAGGCCATGAGGTTTCTGCCCCCAGGAAGAATTAAAGCCGTGAGGTTTCAGTTCCCAGGAAGACCTCAGGGAGCCAAAGCCACTCAGAGGCATGCTTCTACTGTTTTTAGAAGAGGAACTAACTTCATATGTTAAAGAAGAGCCATCGGACTGTTACTACCCAGGTTCCAACATGACAGTGTCTACAAAATTAAGAAATAGAAATGATAATAAGTGAAAAAGGCGACATACTTTTCAGGCTAAGCAGATACTCTGGAGGAAGATGACATCAGATGCCACAAATCATGTATGCGTGCCTTTCAACATCCTCCACCTGGAGGCCCTAACCATCTGGAATGGCACGACCTTCTCTGGGATCCAGGGCTGACCCAGGCCTGAGGGTTTGGGGAGCAGCCCACTGAGCCAATTTACTCATCGGGGCAGGGTGTGGTGGCTCACGCCAGCACTTTGGGAGGCTGAGGCAGGCAGATCACTTGAGGTCAGGCGTTCGAGACCAGTCTGATTGACATGGTGAAACCCCGTCTCTACTAAAAATACAAAAATCAGCCAAGTGTGGTGGCATGCACCTGTAATCCCAGCTATTCGGGAGGCTGAGGCAGGAGAATCACTTGAATCTGGGAGGCAGGGGTTGCAGTGAGCTAAGATCGTGCCATTGCACTCCAGCCTGAGCAACAGAGCAAGACTCTGTCTCAAACAAAACAAAACAAAACCCACTCGTCCATGGCTCATCTTGGCCTCCCTTCTCCTGTTTTCTCCAGGGCTTCATCCTGGCAGCTCTGTGTGTGCACACACGGGGCTGGAAACAGAGTGGCTGAGTGGGTGTGAAGGTCTATGCCCACCTCTCTCCTCTGCCCCCCCGATGGCCTAGGGAGACCTGCTCCTCTCCTTGACCCAGCTCTCTCCTTAGCCCCTCACTCAGCCCGATTCTCCATCTTCTCTCCAAATCCCTCTCTTCTCCCTGCACTGAGATCTTGATCCTGGCAGGCGGCCCAGTCACTCTAGGTCAGGAGCCAGCAAACTTTTTTCTGCAAAGGGCCAGCTAGGAAATATCTCAGGCTTTGCGGGCTGCAGGGTAACTGTTGCAACTACAGAACTCTTGCTATTGGCCCAAGAAGCAGCCATAGACAGCCTGTAAATAAATGAGCATGGCTGTGTTCCAATAAAATTTCATGGATCCTAAAACTTTAATTTCATAAAATCCTCACATTTCAGGAAATATTCTTCTTTTGAATTTTTTCAATTATTTTGAAATGTAAAAACTATGGTGTACAGGTAGCAGGCCGGGTTAGCTCCAAAGACCACAGTTTGCCAACCCGTGCTCTAGGTCACTGAGTTCTAATGAGGCTTGTGCAGGGATACTCGGCACTCTGAAAGGGCTAGTTCCTAGGAGCAGGGCTGAGGGAACATTCTGGATGGCAAGCAAAAGTCCCCAGGCTCATTCCGAAGGGAATTTCAGCAGCCTGGTAAGGGCTTCTGGTGGAATACCACAAATCATCGCAATTATATCCATGGAGAAATCAAGACCTGGCACAGAGCACAGATGTGACGGTGCCCAGCTCCGGGCTCCTCCTCTTTACGAAGGTGCCCGCCACAGAGGGTGCTGTGGCTTGTCTTCCCAGCCCCCATCTACAGCCACAACAGCTCATCTCAACTCTCAAGCATCCTCTGCAGATCCCAGAATGACTGGGTGGAAGGCCCTCTGCACGCAGGGCACCAAGTCCTTCCTGTTCTGGAGTTGAGGTTGCTTTGACAAATAACAGCCCCAATCCCAAAACCTCTGGACTGGGAAGCATCAGCCTCTTCCTGCGCTTCCAGGCAGAGTGCAGCTCACTGTGTGCCTTCAGCCCACCCCATGAGGCTCTCAGGGCAGTGACTGCAAAGCAATACTTGGAACAGTGTCTGGGGATACCAGGGCTACAAGCTGTCGGTGAGGGCTCCAAAGGCTGCATTAAAGATGAGAACCAGCTTCCCTGCACCCAACCATGATTCGTAGCCCTTCAGGCCCACTCTCCCAGGCCACACAAGCATCAGATGCGTGTGTGTGCGTGCGTGTGTGTGTGTGTGTGGGGCGGGGTGCGGAGTGGTTGTGGGGAGAATCTCACCCCTCCCCTGACCCTTTAGGGCTTATAGACCAGAAGAGCACTACCTCGTCTTTTCAGGCAGTGATAGAAGAGGCTTGAGTCCCTCTGGGCGGGGAAGGTGCTGAGGGGCAAGTCCTGCGCCTCCGCGAGCTGCGAGTGCGCCCCATTCTCGTGCTGATAGTGCTGGAGCGCCTGGTGGGTGCCGAGCAGGGGGCCCACATCTGGTGTGCCCGAGAGCTGGGGGGAGATGAGCCTCTGCCTCATGATGCTTTTGGAAATCACAGGGTATTCTTTGCTGAAGGGGTGGGGAGGACAGGAGGAGAGACAGGAAGAGAGTGAAGACGCACTGAGGGTCAGAGTCCACGTGCCTGAACCCCATCTGTCCCCCACCCCCGGGCCACGCAGCCCCACCTCTGCAGCCGGGCCACACGCAGGTCACTGTCATCACTGCCCCGGAATCCCTTGGCAAAAGGGTTGTTCTCAATTTTCAGCTGGGTGATCTGTGGAGAGAAAACACACAGGGTCACCGGGAGGAGGGTGGGACTGGGCTGGCCTCCGGAGGCACAGGCAGAACTAGGGCCGGTCTGGGGAAATGGGCCTTGCCATTCACACCTGGCTTGTCCCTGGCCCTGATCCCTTCTCCTTCCTCCCCACCCTCTGATGCTTTCTCCTACTCCCCAGCCTCCTGCACTGCCCAGTGTCTGTCCCCATGGGTCTCTCCCGGGGATCTGTAACAGCTTCTCAGTAAGCACCCTGGGCGTGCAGCTGGAGTCCGTGCTGCCACCTCATCAGGCTCTGAGTGACCGCTCTCGATGCAATTCTGACTCTGTCACTCTTCTGCCTAAAATCCACCACAGCCACAGCCCTTCCCCCAGGGACCCCTGCCCACCTTGCCAGTCCCTGTGTGCATACTGTGGAAAGCAGATGGGTGTGGCAGAGCATGGCTGTCAGTGACCGGGACGCAATGGGGGTGGCCGGGTTGGGCGGGGCAGTAGCGAGGGTGGGAGGTGGCTGGGGCACCCCCGCCCACAGCCATGGGAGGCCTCGGCTCAGGCACTGCTCCCACAAAGCTGACAGCACCCAGGGCTCCTCCCCATTCCCTACCCATCTCTCTGCAGGCACCAGGAGATGAACCAGGAGAAAGAAGACTGTGGAATGAAAGTGCCCAACGCTCAAACCACAAGCCAGGCTTCAAGTTCTTGGTTTTTACAGTTGCCAAATTGTTCCAATCCCCAAAACACAGAGACTGTAATTCCTCTGCGCCGGAGATGGACAAGCTGAGGGTCCTTTTCTGTTTATCGTTCAGTTTGTTCGTGGCTCTGAGGGACTCTGTAGGCTTCTGAGGGCCCTGTACCGGGCCTGCCCAAGCCCTGCTGGGACTCAGACCCTGCCTCTCCACATGGTGGAAGGAGTGCAGGGCGGTATCAAGCGGGGGCTGTGGGGCTGTGAGCAGTGGCTGTACCTTGTGATTCTGGTAGGAGGTCACAGAGATGAAGGAGGTCTCTGGGAACACGTGGGTGCAGAAAGCAGTGTTTTTGGAGCCGAAAGCGTTGTTCTCATCAGCCTTAACGATGTGGAGCCGTGGCTGGTACTTGTGCATGGAATTGAGGATGATCTGGAAGAGAAGGGTCTCATGCTGAGTGCCAGGTCCCCACCCGCCAGCCCCAGGCCCTGACCTCATTCATCTGGTCCTGGGCTGGTTTTTCTCATTCTCCTCAAAGCCCAGGATCCAGGAGGGCCTGCTGACCAGGACTGAAGCTCCCAAGTCAAGAACCAGGCCCTGGGGCCCAAACTCTGCCCCTCCCTCCTGCCCCACTTAGCCTCTCTCTACCGGCATTCACACCCAGCCCCAGGCCCTCCCTGATGTGACCAATTGCCTCATTGTGGCAATGGAGACCTTGAGCAAGCCCTTGACAGTGTAAAAGGCTGTGTGAACTCAGCAAAGTGTAGCAGGTGGAATTCTGAGCTGTCAGCAAACGTCCAGGGTGCCACTGACTCTCTGCTTAATCTCAGACAAGTCACTCGGATTCACTGTGCCTCCGTTTCCACATTTGTAAAATAGGATCATAACATGTAACCTCCCTCCCTCAGGGGTCCCATCCAGCCTCACCCTTTCTCATACCCCTCTTACACGTGACCTGCCTCTTCTAGAAATACTTGGGTTTTGCAGGATGAGGGAGAGGGAGGAAGCGGAGGAAAATGTCCCACTGTAACGTTTTTTGGTCACATTGCTCATCACTCATTCATGCATTTCTCTTCTTTTCTTTTCTTTTCTTTTTTGAGATGGAGTCTCACTCTTGTTGCCCAGTCTGGAGTGCAGTGGTGCAATCCCTGCTCACTGCAACCTCCACTTCCTGGGTCGAAGTGATTTTCATGCCTCAGCCTCCCAAGTAGTTGAAATTATAGGCGTGCCCCACCATTCCCAGGTAATTTTTATATTTTTAGTAGAGACAGGTTTTCACCATGTTGGACAGGCTGGACTCGAACTCCTGACCTCAGGTGATCCGCCCACCTCGGCCTCCCAAAGTGTTGGGATTACAGGTGTGAGTCATGGCACCTAGCTTTGTTCATGCGTTTCTCAGCATTCACAGAGGCCTGCTGACCGTGTGCTGGGGAGACCCAGATGTATCCTGCCCTCAGAACTGCCCAAGGCCACTCCCAGCCCTCAGGGAAGATCTTTGTGAGCTAGTGTTCAAGGTGCCAAGGTTAGACGGCACAGTTCCTAAAATAATGTCATAGAAGGCCAGAGGCCCCCTGGCCCCAAGGGCCCTTGAGGATGCCATGGGCTGGAAGTGGCGGGTTGCCCGGCTGGACAAAGCTTAGCAAAGCACCCTGGAGGCTCGGCTGCTGGAGCCCCCGGGGGCAGCTCACAGTAGTTGCTGCTCCAAACCCAATTCATTTGGCTGCGCCCCACGGTAGCAGCTGCATCATGTGCCATTAAAATGTATTTTTTATCGTTGACATTTGCCAGACGCCCTCCCCATTGAAGGCAGGACCAGGAATTTGGGGCATTTTATCAGCCCTGCAGCTTCTGTTAACCCTTTGTTTTCTGTCCTGGCTGGGCCAGACAGGCCCTCGGGCTCCCTTCCCCCGGAGCTCCCTTCCCTGCATCTGAGAGTGCCGTTTCCTTGGGTCCATCGTTGTGCTGCTGCCCTTCTAGGTTCCCAAGGACCAGGTCTGGTGCTGACGCTTAATGAAAAGGTTTTTTTTTTTCTTTTCTTTTTTTCGAGATGGAGTCTCACTCTGTCACCTAGGCTGGAGTGCAGTGGCGCGATCTCGGCTCACTGCAAACTCCACCTCCTAGGTTCAAGCGATTCTTCTGCCTCAGCCTCCTGAGTGGCTGGGATTACAGGCACGCCCCACCACACCTGGCTAATTTTTACATTTTTAGTAGAGATGGGGTTTCACCATGTTGGTCAGGTTGGTCTCAAACACCTGACCTCATGATTCACCCGCCTCGGCCTCCCAAAGTGCTGGGATTACAGGCGTGAGCCACCGCGCGTGGACTTGAAAAGTTTAACCCGTTGGTGACCAGAGTGCTGAGAGAAGGCCAGAGTCAGTTTCTTCCATAGTAAGCCTGGGCCAAAGTCTTAGTCTGGGAAGACTCTGCTCTCATGTGCCCTGGGCACAGGGACAGCCTAGAGAGCCAGCTCAGCTGAGGGGCGGGTCACCACGAGCTGGGCTGTGGGAACTGGCCTTCCCTGGGCTCCTTGGTTGGGCTGGGTGCTCCATCCAGCAGGAACCACACTTTCTGCCTTCTGCACTGGCCACGCCCCACTCAGTCCTCAGTGACAAACCTCTGGACCCTCACGAGGCAAGTACATAACCTCCCAAACCCCAAACCCGATCTTACAGCTGGGGACTTGCTGCCCCACTGAGGGCCTGCCAGGTGAGGAATGCAGAGTGAGGCTACGGGACACAGTTCCTGCTCAGAGAGGCCTCGGCGATGTTTGTCCCTTACCAGGATGCAGGGGATCCTCCTGTGGTGAGAGGAACTGGGCCTGGAAAACACCTCCCAGCCCCTTTAGGTGACTCCATCACGCTGCACGATTCACAGAGATGCAGGTGCCCACAAAGGACCCAAGCTCCTGGAAGATCCAGCAATGGAGTACGTGGGAGGTGGCCGATGCTCCAGGAATGCCCAGTTCCCACATGCGCACCTTTGCACACGCAGCTCCCGCTGCTGTCTTGATCTTCCTTTCCCATTCTCTTCTCACCTTCTGGGCCTAACATCTCTTCCAGGAAGTCTTAGGTACAAGGGGCTGCTCTGAATGCGCAGTTCTGAAACTTGGCTTCTCATGCATTATCTACCTGGCTGTTACTCTGCTTCCTAGTGGCTTCCTATTTCTTCCTGTTTTAATTCTAAACTCCTGGGGAGAAAGGACCAAACCTTTATCCTTTGTACCTTTCTAGGCTCCTTTGCCCCCAAATAGAATCTAGTGAGTGCAAGATCGGGTTTGGGAGTGGGAAGATCTGGGCCACGACCACAAGCCTTCCGTGGAAATGTGGATCCTCCTCTCTGGTCTTTACTTGCTCACTAAAGACAAGATCATCTCTAAGGCATTTTTCAGGTCAAAAGTTGTGATGAAACATGGGAGAGCTGCTCTCCCATGAGCTCCTGCATGTTCCAGCTCCCTGGCACGAAGGCCTCCCTGCCCCAGCCATTCTAGCTCTTCAGCGGCGGCAGCACAAAGGGAGACCAGAGACGGTGGGCTGAGAGAACTCAAGTCAGAGCCACAGGCACCAGCACCACATGCAGGCTGTGCAGGACACTAGAATGAATGGCAGTGGCCACCCTACTCCTGACGCCTGGGCAATCACGAGCCATCGTGGGCTGGTCACAGCCCTGGGTATCATCATCAACTCCCATTCTCCTCACCATCATCCACCTCCAGGTCCACTCAGTGACCAATACCTGTGACTCTATCTGTAAAACAAAAGCTCCTCCATTCCTTTTGTACACCCCTGCTTCAGGCCCCACCATCTCTGGCTGGGGTCCTGGGACAGCCTCCTCCTATCTCCATCTACTTTCTCTCCATTTCCACCTGCAACACATCCTATCAATCCACTCCCCTGCTCAGAACCTTCTGGGAGATTCAGGAAGATGCGCATTGCTTAAGAGCAGGGCCTTCTGTATTTCCTCCTCTTTCCCCCACATCCCCTCCTACCACTGCTGCCAGTATATAGGGCTCAATAAATGCCTTGTATCCACAATCCCACCTTTGATCATTCCCTCTTGACCCTTGGAATAAAAGCCAAACTCCTTAGCCCATCAGACAAAGTCCCTGATGATTAGGGTGGGAAGACTGCCCAACACACCTTCCAAAGCAGGGAACCAGCTGGTGTGGCAGGCAATCCTGCAAAGAGGGAAGCTGCCAGTCCTACAGGGGCAGTTGGGAGCACTAGGTGAGGGTAACCCCAGTCACAAAGAAGTCAAGAAGGGTGCAGACGCCTTCATGATCTCTGTTCACCAGCGTCAAGCCCTGAGCAAGCTCTTCTCCAACCATTGGGGTCCTCATCTATAAAGTGGGGCCTTTGGCTAAGTGGTCTCAGACCCCCTTCTGACTCTGACAGTCTGGAACCTGGACAGGTATCTGGAAGAGAGTCCCGCCCATTGAGCCAAGGCAAGTATAAACTTGAGCCTTAGTCCCATCAGCTGGGAGAATGTGAAACCAGCTCAGTGACTCACACACCTGGCTTTGCTTGGAAGTTCCTCAGGCGCCACATTAAACTACTTTGCCAGAGTTTCACATTTATATTTGCTGCAGAGGATATGGGGCCAATTGGGCCAGCCACGTCAGCAACCCCTCTACACGACTGGTTCCGTCATCATCACTGTTTCACAGAAATGGGATTCATTACGTTCTGGCCACAATTCAGAACCCTGTTCTATTTTAACAACTGCAATTGCACCAAACATCCCCCTCCTCAAGAGATCGCCATAGCGTGCTTGGCCAACAGGGCCCAGATTTATCTACATTGGAATCACAGAACATTAGGGCATGGAGAGGCAGACCATGGAGATCATTTGTGTCCAACTCTCTAATTGCACAGACGAGGAACAGAACGCTGGTAGTGAGGATGTGACTTGCTCAGGGACACACAGCTGGTTGGAGACACAGTCCGGGGCAGGACCCAGATGGCCTTTGAGCACTTCTCTCAACAAGCTCAGAGTTAATGAGAAGGTGCCGGTTAAACGCTGTAAGGGACGTGGGTCGGCAGGCCCTATTGTCCATCACAGAACACACGTTATCTGGATGCTAGCCACTCAACAGTGTGGCTAACGTCCATTTTGCCAGATACTAAAACCAGATTTACGCTGTTTCACAATTTAACTTTCTATGACTACCTTCTCCATCATCCTTCAGATCCTCGCCAGCTCTACAAAGAGGTTAGGACAGAGATGGGATCTCAGCTTAAAAAAACGAAGAAGAAAAGAAAGAAAACTGAGACCCAGAATGATAAGAGGTACATCCAAGGAAAATTCAGACTAGGACTGAGTCAGGAAGCCCATCAGCCCACTCAAGAGGTCTTGGCCAGATGAGCCTTAGGCCTCCCTCCCAGGGGAGCAATCCTGGGTGGTACCATGGGGCCTCCAAACCCTCCTGCCTTCTG